AACCAGACTGTTGGGGCTGGGCTCAGAGCCTGCGTTTCTTTGCATTTCCCGGGTGCTCCTTAGAGTCTGTGAACCACTGCTTCGTGGAACATCGGGGCCGCCCCTTCATTTTACAGTGGAGGAAGCTGACGTCCAGAGAGGGCACGTGAACTGCTTACGTAGCACACCTAGTTAGGGCAGAGCCAGGGTTAAGACCAAGTGCAATCTCTCCACGTCTCCCAGCTGTCTCTTTAGCACACACGTAGTCATTAAAAACCGGTGGTGAAGTTTACATGTGCTGTTGGGCACACAAAGGGCTCACCCAGGCTCAGAACCTGACCCCAGGCTTCTCTAAGAATATCTTGTACTTAACATGGCAGCTTTTGGCTCATCTGGGGTAATTTTTCCTGCTTTTTATCCTGGCTGTCTCATGGAGTTGTTTGGCTCTGAGACGCCTCGGGAATTTAGTGCAGTGCACAAACAACAGAGAAGAATTAACCAGTTCATTTTGTACGTTAATGCAGTGAGATAAGCAGCGAAGCCAGGATGCTGGCCGTCTCCTAACTGGGTTTTGTATGTATGTTGTCTTTGGCCAAAGATAAGGATAGTGAGCTGAAGTGCACTGGAAAATAATTCCTGTAATGGCATCATCACTCCTTAAGAAGCTACAGGCAGGCCATGACGAGGGAGGGGACAAGGATCGGCAGTCGTCTGCTTGGTCACTGATGGTACCCGGTCCCTATCAAGTGACCACATAGAATAACCCCAGAGACATGGGGTCCCCATTGAAGTGAGAAGGGGGCAGATAGTGAGTCTTCTGTGAAACACGCTGGTGTAACCAATAGGCTTTTTCTGGACTTGTGCTTGAACTTGAAGACAATTCTTATGGGACTGACGAGACGTGTTCTAGTCATAGTCTAGAAGGATCATAAATATTACACATTTTAAAACTTAATTTAAAAATATTTTTTTTATTAGATTGTGATGAAAACATCATAGATGGTAGAAAGGACAATTTAATTGGACTCTTTCGGGTGGTGCTTTGTACTTGATAAAAACCGAGGCACTTGCTGTTGACGGGGCTCTAACAATAGCAGAGTAGAAGCATGAGAAGGTGGTGTCCGCATTCCCGGTACAGACCTTGTTATAGGTGGGAGTTTCATTTTGAGTTTAAGTTATTCATTCATGTGTGTTTAGTTGTCAGTTATGTAAAATGGGTGTGGGCTTACCTAAAGCCATGTTTTTCTAAACAAAACCCCACGAGAGTGGAAGGGGAGCCTGCTTCCTTTCAGATGTGAGGCTCATGAAGAAATGCGTGGGTTTTTATTAAATGGCATAAATGGGGCATTAATTCACATGGATCCAGGACTGCAGGAGGAATAGCTCCTGAGCCGCCCTTAACCAGCCCTGCCTTCCAGCACCGTTTTCTAGTCAACCCCAGACTCAGAGCTCAGGTCTCGGCCCCCTCCCCCCCTCCTCCTCCTGTCCTGCCAGCCACAGCGGCCTTTTCGTTCCTTCTTGTCCTGGGCCACCCTTCCTTTCCACGCCCTTGTCCCCTCACTTTCGTACTCTCATTCCCGACTTCTCTCATTTCCCGACGTGTCCTAGTTTCTCCTTTCAATTCTTCCCGCCTTGGCGAGGTGCGTTGTCAGCGACTCCCAGGACAGTGGACGTGGGCCTCACTGCATCCTGGCCCTCTGGGCCCCCAGTGTTATCTTCTTCAGCTCAGCTCTTACCTTCGAGTGCCACCCACTTACCCACTGCTACTCTGACACCCGGACCCCTGCCCGTAGTGACCACATGCTGTCCTCCACTGACCCCAGCGTGCACTTCTCCCAAGATCGGCTCTAATAGTGGCTTCAGGAGGCAGTCTCTGCTGTCGCAGCCCCTCTGGCAGGCAGAATTACTCTTCCTCCCTTCCTCTTCCCCTCCTTCCTTCCTCTTCCTCCCCTTTTCTCTTTCACTCGAGGTACGAAGTACATGCAGTGAGGTGCAGAAAAAGCACAGTTCTTGGCAGGCTAGCTCCAGCGCTTTCTGATCCAGGGGCTTCCCCAAGGAGGAGCTAGGCCACAGCCAGGCCTCTAAGGCTCCAGGCCCTGGGCGGTTTGCAGCTGGAGGCAGAGCCAAGAGCCAGCTGTTGTGGGGGCTGTGGGGTTAGCAGCCCTCATCTGTGAAAACCAGACAGTGCGGGTCGAAGGTGGCAGGGAGTGGGCATTTGGGGGTTCCAGAGAAGTTCATAGGTCGATAGATTTGTACACAGGTGTCCATCTGTTTACCACTGCCCAGGAAAAGGGAGAGAACCTTTCCATCCCCTCCAGGGTGTTTTGAGGACCTTCCCTATCACTGCCATGTCCTTGGGGGGGTCGCCGCCATTCCGATTCCAGGCACTATTGGTTAACTTTGTCCTTCACTTTTGATTCTTTCCACACTTTGGGGCCTGAGTAGCACAGTCATGTGCCTGTTTAGGGAGGGAATGCACGTGAGTTTCGGCCTGGGCACCCCTCTTGATGTGCTCATAAACCCTCACAGGCTGTGAGGCGGGTGTTGCTAGCTCCATGTTCTGGATAAGGGGAGGAGGGCTCACAGAAGTCAGGAGAATTCTCCCAGAACTGTGACCGATGGAGGTCAGAATGAACTTGCAGCCTGTCTAGCAGAGCCCTGTCTTAGCTGGAAAAACCCACGCGTCTCCCCATCCACAGGGCCTCCCGTGCTTTCCAGGTAGTTGTGCTTCCTGTTTGTGTCATGCAGCCTTAAACCTCCTTGTCAAAGGCCCCTGGTTGGCAGGGATTGTGCTGGTTTGGTCACCGCATTATACCCAGCACCTCTGTAGCAAGATGGTCCCCAGAAGGTAGTCAGTGGATGAGGACTCACTAGCTGCTCAGCTCCGTGGCCTGAGGCCTCTGAGTGTGGCTGGGGGAAGCAGTGACCCTGGGCAGCCAGCAGAGACGCCCCTGCTTGAGCCTGGAGGAAGGGTGCCCAGTGAATGGGTAAGATGCCCAGGCAGTCGGTGCGTTGAGGAGTCAGCACCAGGGTTTCTTCGGTGCTGCTTGCTTGCTGCCTCCCTTTTGGTGCCTGTCTCACGGCAAGAATTTGGTTCTGAATGTGAAGCCTGGACCCACTCCCTGCTCTTGGGTGACCTCAGAGTTGAGCAGGCAAAAATAATGCAGCCTCCCTGAGCACGTGGGCATTCTAATCTGAGAGTCCCTGTTTGTTGGTGTCCCCAAGGACACAGTGACACCCTTGCCTCTCCTGTGTGCCGGAGGCCCTCTGGGCAGGGGCTCAGCGGGAGGGAAGCAGTCCTTTACTCAGAAAGGGCTGAATTCCAGGGTCAGCCGCCCGGTGACCTCAGATGCAGAGGCATGGCGAAATCACAGTGGTCCATCCCTCAAAATGCGAACCGGCCCTCAGCCTCCCTTGAAGTGGGACTGGCATCCCGCACGCTCCTCAGCCTCTGGCTCTTAGTGGCGGTTCAGAGAGCTGACTCCTGAGGGAGGGATTGCTCTCCTTCTTAGTCGTCGATCCGCCCAGATGTGTGTGGGTGGCACGGATCCACAGCCGCCTTCCTGTGCAAGGACCCTCTCGTACCGAGGAAATGGCACCGAAAGCCTGGGGGTGTCCCTGGTTTCGGTTGCCTCTGCTTGGTGAGAAATGACATTGCTTGGTGAGTGACGGGCCAGCCTTGTCATCTGAAACAAGATCTCTCTGTGTGGTACATCTGGAACTTGGCCTTCTCAAGGGCCCCAAAATAGCCAGGCCACTGAAGGGAGAACTTCGTGAGAGGACACTGAGGGACCCCAGCCACTCCTCGCCGAGCAGGCCTTCTTGCCATCAGAAATGTAGCACAGCTAATCCCTGGGTTTTGTTCTCGTTCTGTGCTGCTTCTACATCCCTCGCGTGGCCCCCTTTCTTGCAGCGCGTTGTGAAAACACTCCTGGGGTGGGGGGGCTCTCCCTGCCACCCCTTCTCTGCAGAGATTTCCGCTCTGTGGCCTGGGTTTGGGGCCACACGGCTCTGCGTTATTAGGAAACGGGGGGACCTTTCAGGAAGCAGAGCAGCTGGCTATGATTTAGTGTGTTGTAAGCGAATCCTCCTTGCCCCTCCTGATTTGGGTCTCTGAAGACTTGGGAGACAGTCGGTGGCGGTCTCTGTTGCTTGGTTGTCACCCAGATAAAAGACGTGTCTTCCCAGTGTCAGAAACTGAGACCTCTCTCGTGCTCAGCAGATAACTTCGGCTCACCTGTTTTCTCTCGAGGCCCCTAATTCTTAACCTGCTGGCCGGACAGCAGCCTTGGCAGGGGAGGGGGCGTCTGGCAGGAGCAGGGAGGCGGCTGTGTTCCCTGTGCCCGCCATGCTGCCTGACACTGGGCGGCCCAGAATCACTGGCAAATGGGAGTGCTGAGTACCATGCCTTTTCCTCCTCAGAGGTGTATCCTTCCCAGCTTCTAACCAGTCTGTGTTTCTCCTGTTTTTATTTTAGGAAACTCCGTCCTCTGCAAATGGCCCTTCCCGGGAGGGCTCCTGGCTGCTGCCCACTAGGGAAGGCCACGCCGTGTACCCCCAGCTCCGGCCTGGCTACATCCCCATCCCTGTCCTCCACGAAGGCGCCGAGAGCCGGCAGCCGCACCCTGTCTTTGCCTCTGCCCAGCCCGGGACGCAGCGATTCCGAACCGAGGCAGCTGCGACAGCTCCTCAGAGGTGCCAGTCACCTCTGCGGGGTGTGGCAGAAGCCAGCCAGCCAGATAAACAGTGCGGACAGGCGGGAGCAGCTGTGGCCGCCCAGCCCCCAGCCTCCCACAGACCCGAGGTGAGGAGAGGCCTGGCGCTCGGGCCTGTGGGTGTGACCGGGGAGCCCAGACCTGATGCCTACGCCCTGGGCCAGGCACCCGATGAAATGCAGGGCATCTGGGCCTGGCCTGCAGCGTCAGAGGTCACCCAACAAAGACAGCTCAATAGCCCCACATTGTCCCCTAGCGTTTCACAGGTGTGTTTTTCAGGTGGGCAAGGATCATGGCTTATTTCTATAGTTAAGTAATTGGAGCTCAGAAGGGTAAACAGCTTGATCGGAATTCATAAAGGACGTGGCATCGCTGGGGCGAGAAGCCTGGCCTCTGGCTCCTGAGCTGAGGCTCTTTATTCCCACCGGGCTTTCTGTCTCAGAAACAGAGATACTGTGTGTTGTTTCCTCACGTTTAGAGTCTGTGGATGAGTATTAACTGCTTGGAGCTATACTGATACGAAAACGAGACAGCATACCTGCCCTCACAGTGTCCCACAGTTTAAACAAAAATCCGAAATACAGAGTCAGGAAGGCAGTTGCTTAATGATAGGATTTTAAGCCTGAAGCCAACACTTCAGTGCACTAATGTCTGAAAAATAGTTCTTAGTCTGGTCCGTAGCCGAGATTCGAGGGCCAGTGGACCCCAGCGGGCTTCCTGAGCAGTGAGCCCGTGTGGTCTTCCTGTCTAGACCATTTCGTTGTGTCCACTGGCACAGCTCCCCACTCCCCGTCTGCCCCCAGGGCTGGGATTGCCCCCCTCGGCCCCATCCTGGATGTTGGCTTCACTGTCTGCCTGGGGGCAAAACATCACAGTTGATGTGGGACTCTAGGAGGCTCCTGTCCTCCTTGGAGAAGCAGTGCCTGTACTTGGAATGTTTTCGTTCTAAAAGTCAACTGTGACACATCCGTCAGAGAAATCTTAACACATTTGAGCCAGCAGGGCCCATAGAAGCCAGCCGGGGAAACACCATCCTGGTTTTCTAGGTGGTCCGGGGGAAAGGGGCCTGGCCTGCCTCAGGTCACGCAGGGGACGCAGCTCCCAGTACCCAGCGTAGTTCTCTGTAGATTAGCAGGAAAAGGGTTAAGGAAGAAGGAAATAAAGTGACATGTGACAAATGCAGTGTGTTTAGCAGTTCTGGTTGGTGGCAGTTGTGCTAAAGCACACACACAGGTGGTTTTACTTAACCTTCAGGTCAGCCCAGCGAGGGAGAGGGTGCTCTTCCCTAGGGAGAGCTGGTAAGAATCTGAACCCAGGCCTCCTGACTCCAGAGCACCCCATCCTAACACTTCAGTTTGAAAACGGAAAGGCTCAGAGATGGGAGGTCCTTAAACCTTTTGCCCTGAGCAGGCACCTAACGGAGGTGGGGTCGGAGTGCCAGGCGCAGGTCATTCATGGGGCCGTGCCTCTACCTTCTGTGTCTTGCAGCGATCCCAGTCTCCGGCAGCCTCAGACTGCTCGTCTTCGTCGTCCTCGGCCAGCCTGCCCTCCTCTGGCAGGAGCAGCCTAGGCAGTCACCAGCTCCCCCGGGGATACATCCCCATCCCTGTGATACATGAGCAGAACGTCACCCGGCCGGCGGCCCAGCCTTCCTTCCACCAAGCCCAGAAGACGCACTACCCAGCACAGCAGAGCGAATACCAGACCCACCAGCCTGTGTACCACAAGATCCAGGGGGATGACTGGGAGCCTCGGCCCCTGCGGGCAGCATCCCCGTTCCGTTCACCGGTCCTGGGCGCATCCAGCCGGGAGGGCTCTCCAGCCAGAGGCAGCACGCCGGTGCACTCCCCATCGCCCCTGCGTGTGCACTCCATGGCCGACAGGCCTCAGGTATGAGTCGGTGTCGGCAGGCCGGCCACGGTGGCATCTCCTCTGTGCAGGTGCCCTGGGGTCCCTGTCAGCCTTCCCTAGATTACATGTGCTCGATGAGGGAAAGTCAGATCCTGGACACGGCTGGCCATTGGCAGAAACGCGAGACCTGGGCTCATCGTAAACCCTCCGCACCTTCTACAGCTTCTGCTCAGTTTTTATCGCAGAAGCCCAGGGGCAGCTCAACCACCATGTGGGAAACTGTGGGCAGAGTGCAGCATCACTCACACACCTAGGGTCGAGGCATCTTAGTGCCCACCTCTCGGGGCGCTTGTAAACCCCTCCACACCCCAGCGTGTCTCTGGTCTTCCAGGCAGCGATCTCCTTCCTCCCTGATACCCCTTCTCCACCCTGTAAGCCCGTTCTGTCATCCCGCCTTCGTGCCTTTGCTCCTGCCGAACCCGCTCCCTGAAATGCCTTCGCAGTCTGAGTTCTCCCATCTTCCTGCAGCAAGCCAGTCTCACCTCTTTCGTGAAGCCCACTCATCTTTCTCATGGTGCCTTGTGAGCCCCTTAGAGTTCAGCATGTGATGATTCTGTGCATTTCAAAAGTGTCGTTCATCTTGTCTCTTCAGCTTGGCTCTGAGCTCGGTGACATACACCACGCCTTATACCTTCTCCTCCTCCGTGGTGGTGGACCATATTGCCTGGCCGATGAACCGGCCTGCTCATCCTTCAGTGGAGTTGAGGGGCGCTGGCTTCTGGAGGAAGAGGAGGACATCCAGCCTTAGCAGCTTGTAGCTCAGCAGCAGAGCATTCAGCAGCCCTGGGCCCCCTCTGGCTGCGACTTGAGCAGCCGAATTAATTCTCTGCCAGTTCTTAGATGGAAGTTCCCCATAAACAAATGCAGTGTATCTTCATACTACAAATGGTGACCCTATCCAGAGCCCTGGAACAGAGCACCCACCTTTTGTTTTTATTTTTTAAGCTTTTTTGAGCATCTTACAGAACTGTTGTAGGAATTTTACAAAGAAGTCCAGGACACCCTTCAGCCAGATTCACTGTCAACATTTTGCCACGTTTGCTTTGTCATTTCTTCTCTCTATATATATTATCTCTATGTTTTAATTGTTTGAGATTTCATTGGAGATGTCATGCCCCTTTACGCATAACTACTTCAGTAAATATTTTCCTAAGAGAAGGACTTTTCGTTCATAACCACAGTAGAATTATCAGATTTGGGAAATTTAACATTCTTACAACATTATCATCTAATACGCAGGCCATTTTTAAATCTCCTTTGTGGTCACTTCCCTGTTCCAGGATCTATTCTCGGGTCATGAGCACTGCACTGGGATGTCATTTCTTTTTAGTCCCCTTTAATCAGGAGCACTTTCTTTGCTTTCATGACCGTGACAGTGTTGAAGAGTAAAGCCATGGAGCACCCCTCTTAAGTGTTTCTAAGTCACATCTTTCCCAGCCTTTGTTTTAAAACCCCAACGGGGGAGACGCGTGGCTGGTTCATGAATGGTGGGAGCCAAGGTTGGGGATGCCTGGGTTGGTGAGAGAGGTTCGGTGGACAAGGAGGTTGCTGAGTGTCTACTCAGTCCTCGGGCCCTGTGGCCCTAGGAAAGTGGAGCCCCCCGTTGGCAGGGCTGGTGATGTTTCCCCTCGTACAGTTTCTGTAATCAGTGAAATAGTATTTCACTCTGTCTCCACGCCCCTTAACCGTGTTTGTTAGCGCTGGGCTTCCTTTGTAGCTTGTCGAAAGGTCCCTTCTTGGGGGCTTGCAAGGATTTGACCTAACCAAATTTTGTAGTGGAACTTAGTATTTTAAATTGAGGATACTTTAGAAATAATGTAGTCCAATTCTTATTTCCAAGTTGAAATTTGGGTGTGAGAATTTTAGGGGGTTTTAGACATTCACCTAAATATAGGAGTCAAAAGATTTTGGTTTTAAGCATAGCTCATTTAAAAAAATATGACTCTAGCTTATAGTTACATTAAAGGGTATCTCAGCCTGTGCAGCTAGAAATCAGTGCAGAGATGCGGAGCTGAGTGCTAGCTCCGGCACAGATGCGCCCAGCAAAATTCTTACAGGGTTACCTGTTTGGGGCATCTTGCTTATTCTCAAAACATAATCAGTCTGGTGAGAAACCAATAGGTTATCATAGGTTTAAAAAAAAAAATTATAACTTTTCTGAAACAGGAGATGCAACAGGAGATCACACCCTGAACCAAGACCGTCCACACAGTGTAAGGAAGGGGACAGGTGGCAGTTATTCCTTCACGGCTGTGTCATCCCAGAGTCTTGAGTCACCCAAGGCTTGGCTTTGAGCTAAACTAGCTCAGCAGTCAGCATGAATTTTTGGTACTTTGGTTTTTGAAAATTATATTGGTTTTCTTTTTATTGCCCTAAGAATACCATCTACCGAAAAATCCACTGAGGTAACAGACCAAGCATAACAAACGGTTTGGTCACATATGTGATTAGTGTATTTTAATTTTACAATAGCTGTCGGTTGACTTTGAAAATCTCTTTTATACCATTAAACTTAAAAAAAGCTATTTCCCATTTTTTTCTTATCAGTACTGTACTAACTACAAACAACTTTCTGTGACTCTCAACCCATTATTAAAAATATCTTTGTGTCTTTGCCTCTTCTCAGCAGCCCATGACCCATCGAGAATCTTCGACTGTTCCCCAGCCCGAAAACAAACCAGAAAGCAAACCAGGCCCAGGTGGACCAGAACTCCTTCCTGGACACATCCCGATACAAGTGATCCGGAAGGAGGCGGATGCCCAGCCCGTCGCCCAGAAGCCCCCACCTCCGTCGGAGAAGGTGGAAGTGAAGCTTTCTTCTGCTCCAGCTCCTTGTCCCCCTCCCAGCCCTGCCCCTTCTGCTGTCCCCTCAGCCCCCAAGAATGTGGCTGCAGAAGAGAGGGCAGCCCCCAGCCCTGCCCCTGCTGAAGCCACACCCCCAAAGCCCGGAGAAGCTGATGCGCCCCCAAAACATCCCGGTGTGCTGAAAGTGGAAGCTATCCTGGAAAAGGTGCAAGGGCTGGAGGAGGCCGTGGACAACTTTGAAGGCAAGAAGACAGACAAAAAGTACCTGATGATAGAAGAGTATTTGACCAAAGAGCTGCTGGCCCTGGATTCAGTAGACCCTGAGGGACGAGCCGATGTCCGTCAGGCCAGGAGAGATGGCGTCAGGAAGGTTCAGACCATCCTGGAAAAACTCGAACAGAAAGCAATAGATGTTCCAGGTCAAGTCCAGGTTTATGAACTCCAGCCCAGTTCCCTTGAAAGCGATCAGCCACTGCAGGAAATCATAGAGATGGGCGCCACGGTAGCAGACAAGAGTAAGAAAAGTGCCGGAAATGGAGAAGATCCCCAAACTGAAACCCAGCAGCCGGAAGCCAAAGCAGCAGCCACTCCAAACCCGAGCAGCACGACGGACACAGCTGGCGACCCAGCGGTGCCGTAGGCAGACCTGAGACTGGGAACTGACGGTGTGCTCTAGGGAATTCTAAGTTGCATGCATTTCAGGGACTTTAAATCTGTTGGATTTTACTATTCGTAGCAGCTTGGCACGCAGTAACCCGGGTGGAGGCAAAACAGTAATGGAGCTAAAAGGAAAATGATGCTTTTCTTCAGTATTCTGATTCTGTACAAATAAAGCAGTCGCTTGTTTCAGAAGTTTAACCCCATCGCTTGTTGTTCGGGGGCCTCCCCTGCATGGGCACCACATGTTAGCCATGGTTGTGAGCTGTCTTCCTGTCACTCTGGACTGGAGGAGATTTTTAGGGGGTAGATGGGGAGTCGATTTCTCATCACATAAGAAATATGAAACCCATTTTTCAGAAATGTTGCCATTTCAGTGAGATGATTTTCTTCATCTCGTAGCCAAAATATCTAACTTGAGATAGAATAAAATGTGTAAGAAGCCCTAGGAATATCTGTATGTTGGATGACTTTAGTGCTACATTTTAAAAAAAAAGAGAAAATAAAGAAATAATATGACTTAGTGTTTTTTGTGGTTTGTACAACTTCGAAGAGAATGGCAACATCGAGATCGTCTCTCGCTGGCTTCAGTAAAAATAAGTGGCCGACGCATTTATAAGCCTGCTCTGGGATTGGTACCATCTCTGCTGGCTCAGCTCATGAGAAAATGAGTCTTGGTGATTTTTCAACCTCAGACTGCAGCTAGATGCTGGGCGGACTCAGGGCTGTGAACCCAGGTAATGGGAATGTGTGTACTGCACCTCTTTAGACCGCCACGGCCAAGGTGCCACTTGGGCAGCATCTCTGCCCACCTGTCCTCGGGCCATCTGCAGGCCTCACCAAGGAGCTGAGACGGTTCAAAAGTGCACAGGGAAAGCCCTTCCCAGAATTGCCTGAGACCGGCCCAAGCTTTCCTTAGAGTCCAGGTCACTGGGGGTTGGGAACATGTTCTCAGAGTCTTGGGGTCATCTTTATCTGACACTTCTCTGAGTCATCAAACCAGTCCGGACCCAGGTTTATCTTCCCAGATTGGGTTCCTAGAAGCCATGGGGGTTAAGGGATGAGATGCACTTTGAAGCCACTGGGTGGAAGAAGAGCCTCTCTGTGCCAGCGTCTTTTAAGAGCTTGGGAAGGACCACAGCCCAGGACACGTGGAGATGGGCTAGGTTTTTCTTAACTGCTTGCCAAGTAAACCTGAAAATGGAAAGGGAGGGAGAGATGGGCCTGAGATCTTGGAACTCCCAGGGGCACGCTGACTTAAGAGCCCCGAGCTGAATGCCTCATGACTCTATCGGGTTTAATATTGGTGCCTGACGATGCTGCCCAAAAATACACACTGGTATAGTTGCCACTCTTAGCTTGCTGAGAAAGGTTGAAGTTATTCCGATGGGAATCTGCCAACATCATTCCTGGGTAAACTCATTTGGGGAGTATAAGCCGACTGCTAGAGACATGCCACAGATTCTGGAAACAAACACGTGCATGGGGAAAAGCCCACTGGACTACTTCTAAAGTGAACCAAAGATAAACAATGTGACCATTTCTTTCTGCAACTTGGGCCTCTATTCTCAGTGGACCACAACTTTAAGGCGCCTTGAGTGGTTACTGAATTAGGTTGATGTTATTTTTATCACTAAACATCTGTAGTAGCGCTTTGATGTCATTAGAATATTTCAGTCATCCAAATTAAATGACACATGGACATCAAGGCAGGAGTTCGCTGACCTGTGTCGGTGGTCCCTGGGCCTTGCAGCAGGCTACACTGTATAGGTAGCGTACGAATCCTATGAGAGTTTTCCTGTCTCCCAGAGAAAGTAAGTGACTTGGAACTAGTAAGTAATGGCACCTCAATGCTGGGAGCCCAGATGCCCGAGTCCGGTTTCCAAGGCTTTCTAGAGCAACCTTCCTTCCTTCCTCCAACTCAGTGTCTGCGCCCCTCCTCCAGCCCGTTCCCTACCTTCGATGTCCGCTCGCCCTCTGCCTCCTTTTTCCAGATTTTCTTGCCCACCTTGAGGCCCACCCTTCTGTGACACCTCCTCCCCTCAGACAGTAACCGCCTTCTCAGACTTCCCTTTTCCAAAACTCCCAGCAGCCTTTGGCCTGTTGGCCAGGGCCCAGCTGTTTCCCAGCTGTTTTAACATCTTTGGTCATTTCCTAAGCAAGACCGGAAATCTCCCGAGGGCAGGCCCACTCTGACACCTCTTCATTCCTGTGTCGTCATCCAGACCTGGGTACATAGGCACCTGCGTGGCCAAGAGACCCTTCAAGTTCCTTTGACAGGACCTTATGATTCCAAGGCTAAATGGACATTTATTCAGAAATGACTATCGGTGTTAGCTGATGAGAGTTCAGGGCCAGCTCCCCCACCAACTTGTAATTCGTAATTCACAGATTGTGAATTTGGGCAAGTCGTTTCCCCTCAGGGCCTCTTTCTCCCCACCTGTGACAGACAGGTGGCCTTAACCATGGCCCCTCCCAGTGGGCTGGAAGAGTGGCAGCCCGCCTGTCTTACTGCTGTGGTTTCTGTGCTTGCTCTGTTGCTGTGCCCAGCCCGGCCAGGCAGCACGGTCTCCATTCTGGGTTGTGCATTCCTACGACTCCCATGTGAGTGCGGCTGGGTTGCCCACTCTCCTGTAACATTAGACAAATGTAATCATACGCCAAGGGACGGGATCCAGGGTTGCAGTTATTTTGGGATGTGCAGGAGCCTGTGGGAAAATGCTGGAACATGTCTGAGTCACTCAGGCAAATACCTTTCTTTCCATGTTCCAGCATGTTTTGAACTTTCAGGCGGCACCAAAAAAAAAAAAACAACAAAGAACCAAAAACAAAACAAAACAAAACTTCAGCAGG